CAGGCACATACACGCGCAAACTGGGGTCGTCACAATATACGTTTCTGCATTTGCCTGTATGCGAAAGCGCATAGTCATGAAATCATTTCACGGGACCATACGGCTTGGATAATGAAAAGATCGACTGTCAGGGAGCAGAGCAACTGAAGTTTCATTGATCGAGACAGGGGATTGCCGGACATGCTCCTTCCCCCCCACTTTGCATCACGACACATGACCTATTTGTAAATTTGAGCTGCTTTCAGCGGGCCAAAAAATTTTCTGAGATTGAATCGTGTTCCGCCTTATAAATTAGGAAAGTATGAAAGAAGCGAACCGTTTTCAGGACCCGATGGAGAAAAAATCTGCTCCAAACTGACTAGTTGAACCAAGAAAAGTAAACCGTAACATGTTTTCAGGACTATGTAAAAAATTCAGTAAGATGCGCAACCAGTAAAGAATAATTATCATGGCTGGAGTAATTTTAGTTTCATTGTTATTGTTTGCTAAATAGGGCTGAAAATAGCCTCAGTCCTAAACTGTGGCTAGAGACTGGGCAAACAGAAAAGAAATTTGACCTAATCCACTCAGAAATGAGACCGGGGTTTCAACTGATGTAACGGGTATGGCAACAAAGAACTTTGGGTGGTCCTGCAACTCCGCGTGCAAACAGCACTGCGTGACACTAACATTACGTCACGTAAAGTGCGTAGCGTGATTTTTTGGATAACTTTAATAAATTTAAAAAATACAAAGTATGGAAGATTAACAAGCAAGAATTTTGCGAAATTTTCAATTTTTTTTTGAGTTTTCTAAAATATAAGAGCGAGAGAAAAATTCATGGAATTTAATGTTGCGGCTTCAATGAGGAAAAGTCCCGGTTATACGGATTCGGAGTTCTTGAAGTGGATTAGGCCAAACTCGTTCTCTGTCTGCCCGATTTTTAGCCACTAATTTTCGGACTAAAGTTAATTTCCTCTCAATTTAGCCATAAAAATAATAACAATTAAACTTCCCACTCAGCTGACCAGGAAGCATTATTTTTCTGAGGATTTTTGTTGTTAATGTGCAGACCAGCGTGTGTAAAATGAACTTCTGCTCAGGCATGTCACCTGCGTACAGGTGCATCAAATGTTCAAATTGCAATACCCCAGTCACACCTCAGCATAGGAGCTTTTTTGGCAAGACGGAACCACGCAAAAACGCATGATCGCACCGGCAATTCTGATGTGCGCTTCTACTGATTCTCTTTCAAAAGGTTGTCTCCTTACTCCTTTTGCTTTATCATGTTTCCTGCTCATAGCTTTCGCATATGTATTTGCATGAGCTTGTAAAGCAAACATACCAGGTTTGCTCAGAGTGCTGTAGGCAGATATGGGAAAAAGTATGCTCTATCAGATGAAGATTTGGATGGTACAAAAGCAGATCATAGAAGCTGGGGACTGCAGTCATCTTTGGTTTATTCTGGGAGAGACTGGTATCTGTGCACGCCTGAATGTTGTCGAATACGTCGGCTTCGAGGTGGGATGCGTTTAAATCAAAGTGGGATGCTTTTCGATCGCAGTCCCACGAATACCATCTCAACAACGAACTTAAGCCATGGATGGTGAAGACGTTACAAATCCTTAAGGTTATGCTTATTTTCTTGCTCGCTTCTTAACGAAATTTCATATAAGAGAAAACCGCAAATGTGCATATGTGAAAATTCAAAGAGAAATGTATCGTTCTGACTGAAAAGATGCATGGGATGTGGAAGTTGAGATTGGGTAACTGGCATGCTCGTTTATAGAAAGGGCACTTTTACACTGCTCTCGGCAGCCCAATGTTTTGGTCTGTATTCTTGCAGTAGAATCCTGGAGCAAGCTTGCTGAAGATCAGTCTCGACCTATTTGATGACGCATAGCTCAAGTGGTATATTTGCTGCGTGCTTTCAGTTTATGATATTTTCGATGTCGCATGTGTTGCTAATTTTTGGTACCGCCGCGTCAAAGCTGACTGTAATTTTACTGGCGACTAGTATCGAGTTAAAGCCATCTGGAAGCCGATTCCGGGAGAAATGCTACGTTGGAAAAGGTCGCCTTTGAATGTTGTGCGGAAACATGAATGTATTTTTTGCTGCTTGTTTTAAGCAAAAAGCAATTCAATGTTCAGTCATAAGGGGAGACGAAGCCTGTTAGATGCCTGTGTCGGCTGGCAGCTCCAAAGCTCGACAGACAAGACTTCCTGGTTCCTTTCTGAAACACGCCTAAGACATGCTAACAAAATTAGATTGACCTTCTCTTACAAATGTGTTGAAATTAAGCAGTGCTATTTTGCCCGTAGCACGTGATCGCAACAAACCCAAAACCGAACCACAGGCCCGACAACTTGCCCTCATGTTTTATCAGAAACTGAAACTTCTTCAGTACGAAGGAGACATCCGCAAGTCACAGCTTCTGTGGTTTGTGCTTTGTGGCTTATTCAGAATGCTCCGGACATGATGGCCATCATTCAGTCACTGTACAGGATTTACAAGAATCGGAAAGAACGCAAAGGTGCAACACTGATGGTTGGTTTCGCAGGCACTTTTTAAGCAACTACATTATTTTCTCTTGCCAGTTGGCCCTCGCGAATTTGCTTTTTCCATGTACATGCACATGAGAGAAAACCGCTTGCGTGCATTTGGCAATGAGGTTGAATTTCCAAATTTCACTTCAGGAACTTGGGGCATGGTAGATTTTATTACTGGGTGCACCACTTAATACGAAAGCACAGTGATTTTAGGTATTTATTGTGGAATGTTGTCGCTCAGCAGGCTTGTCGATTTTGTTTTTCCACATTTTCCCGTCACTGGATCCACTTCACTGCTTGGTTCTTTCTGTATCCGCCGTCTTTATGCCGTTGTACTACAAAATCAAAAGTTTGATTCGACGCTCCTTCGATCCATCCTGGTTTGATTCACTGAGCATTTATCTTACAAATTTCAAGCAGAACACCTTACTCCTGTCAGTGACAACCAAGCTTGCAGGTCACTTAAGAGAAGGCTAAGACTACTATTGCATTCGTGCAGTTATTCCATACTCTTCCTGATTATTTTCGCTTCCTGTTATGTGTGGAGTACCACTGCTGTTCCCTTCTTCAAGTTCGCTGCGCTGCCGTTGGCTTTAATTTTGTCGTCATTCGGTTTTTGGGATTTATGGATCGATATGAGGCATTGTTTGTCCAGTTACCGCTATTTGTACCAGGTTTTCATCTTGTTTTCTTTTTGAGATACGGCGGCTATCGTATTATATTTTTAACTTACTAATTTTTTTTCCTCAGGCGTTTAACAGAAACAATTGTCTCAGTTCCTGGTCGACAACTCAAGATTTTTTCCTTCAGACTATTTCCATATTCGTCAATTTTTCTTGTTTCTGATTATTTCTGCATTCTGTTAGTAATATTTGTGAGGTAAAAAAATCCCAATCATTCAGAACATGCGTTTGTTTGCAGTGTTTTTTTTTCAGCTAAAATTTGGGACACGAAAAATGAGCTCGTTGACTCGGCTCATAGTATCAATATTGCGCATTTTGACGTCCGGACTCATCGTATGGATTGTTAAGCTTCGTTATTTGCCCTTTAAGGCTGTGAAAAAATCCATAAGCGAAAACTTTGGAGGCCCGGAACGTGTTGCCGCCTTGTGAGTGTTATGCCTTATTTTAAACCTTCTTTCTGAATGCAAATTTTGCTGTAGAAATACTTCTGCCCGAAATTTCTCATACTTTTTCATACTTATTCACAATTTCATCATGTCCTTTGTTTTTACCAGGGTGCATCGGCACTAGTTTCCGACTCATGGATAAGATGCCTGCTAGTTTTTATCAACTGAAGATCAAATATTTTGTGAATTGCAGCACTAAGTGTGTATCATTTTTAGGTACACCCTCGCGATCTATATCATTCTCCTGAATTTTATCCTTCGTTTCATATCGCGATTCCTGTCAGCGATGTCTATGCGTGTTCTAGCACTGCTTCATCCCCTGCTTACTGCTGTACCGTTGCTTATGACCGCCTTCATCGTAACATGCTTCGTGATACCCATGTGCTCCATTCGTAGTTATTTATCCAGCTATGGCCTACGATGGCATTGTTTGGCGTGGAAAGCCTCACTTAAGTCATTGCCGGAAATGTGCTTTGGTGTTATCTGGCTGATTACGTATCTGCGATGGGCATATAAGCACGTCAAAGCACGACGTTTCGATCCAACTGACGAAGTGTACGTTACTCAATAAGAATCCACCTGCTGCTAACTCAACAGTACCTCTGCAACTCACTTTCTGAAAATTGCACGATATACTTTTGCAGTTTGACAACAAAAAATATCTGAAAAAGATGTTGACGGTTTTCCTCTTTTTCCGAACTTGCTTCTAAATGACTCGGGAAAGACGCAGTCCAGACACTTGCCATTTCGAAACAAACTGACTTTATTCGTTTCAGCATTGATACGATCGCAAGTGTGCCAAATGGTTTCACAATTGAACAGTCGCTCGTTGTGTATCATTTTACCATCAGTAAAAAAGTCAGGGGGCAACTTTACTTTTTTCTCCAAATGTCTTATATCCTAAATAAGTGATGTTCAAGAAATGCAGCGTACGAATTACAGCAAATGTTTGAGCTTTTAAGAGAGTGCGGAGGAAGACTGGGTGCTAAAAGAAATGTAAGGGTTGCGCGCTCGCGTTGGATTCGTGGTGCGCATCTTTCTTTATTATTCTCCGCATAGGAATCTGCAAGCGTACTTTGCCTGCCGCTGGTTTATACGTAAGTTAATGACAGTTCTTTCATGCGTAACCCTAGATGGCAGGGTTCGCAGTAATCTGTAGAACTCTGCTGTAGCCGAACAGACTGTAATATACAATGTTGTTATTTAGTTTGAGCAGTGATTTGCTTGGCTTAGCTGCATCCGAATGCACGTGCATTCCAGTAATGTCACTAATGTGGAGTCCAACAATGAATACGCGAGTGGCCTTGATATTCTTAGTATTAACATGCACTCTGCATTGAGCTACCTTTTCATTTAATGTCAGTTTAAGATGCGCGAGGCAAACTTTTTCTAGACGTAGTCAGTGTGCTCAAGTTAAATTTTTATTAAGGAACTGGATGATGACCGGTCGATCGGAGAAACCGAATTTGATGCCGGTGAGCTAAGAATAACAAACGATGAAATTGACAAAACTGTTACACTGTATATTTGTGCGACAATGTGGCATGAAACACGCAACGAAATGATGCAAATGTTAAAATCCATCATACGGTCTGTATTCTGGTCCCTTATTCCATGCAGGCAGTAGCTGAATAGGCATTAATCTAATATATTTCAGACTTGATAAGGAGCGATCCCTTGTAATGACAGAAAGACGGCGTCCGAATGATATCAAATATAGACTGGAAGGTTTTGTTTTTATGTTCAAAATGCCTTCGATCCCTGTGAGAAGGAAAGGTATTTGAAAATTATCTTGAATGAAGATAGCGTCAAAAGTAATCACCGTTGGCAATGCTGTCGGTGGCTTTCTGTTTCGGAGGTTGCTTAGAAGTAGGTTTTTGGTGACCTGTGATTGTCCAAAATTTTCTATAGGTTTTGAATGGTGGGCGCGATGGTAAATATTAATCATAAGGCCAACAGTTTATATATAAATATCGTCCATTTGGCGGATGCAAGAGTTTTTTTAGCTTTTTTTTTGGATGAGGAGTGGGGAGAGGGGGAAGGGGCGAAGGAGGAGGCGGGGAAGGGGTAGGGGAAGGGAGAGCTGGGGGAGGCGAATTATCAAAGTGTTTTTGCAGCACACATCTTCTTTGATGATGCTTGGGAGGATCAGTTGGAATGTGGTCGCACTCCAAATGCGTTCTTCAAGGAGTTTTTCCGTTTGCTGATAGAACTAACTCAGTAAGATTTTAGCACGCCAGTTTGCATCTCTGCAGAATTTCTTTTGCTCCATTTCGCACTCATTAATATTCAGACAGTCAAAGACAATCCTTCTGTTTATTTTTTGGATTACTTTTGACAGGTAACTGGCATGAAAAAAATTCAGTCTGGTATTAAAAGTGGCACTAAGTGTTAATTCTCGGCACTATGAAGCGCACTTGCTGAACAAATAAGTATCTCCGTAGATGTGAGACGAATGATGGAACTGATGGCACAAAGAATCGTGTGCTTGTGAATACCGCGTACGGTGGAAGACTGGTTGTTCGTCTGCCGGCTGGAACATTGCTCTTCGTTCATTTAAAGGATAAGAAGCTTGTGCGCCACAAGAAGCGTTGGTCACAAGTGAGGAATTCTTTCGAAGGATTTTTTTTTAACTTACAGTGTTGAAATATTGGTTTTGGGATCGGCTGTTAGGGCTGTGGATTTTTATTATTTTCCTCAGTACAATTTTATTTTTAGAAATGCCGAAAAGCACGGATCCTCTGTTTGCACCGTGGAAATATAGAAATCTTTTGTGTGTTAAGAGGCAATAGAAAAATCCAAGTCATTAATTATTAGAATTTTGTTGAAAATGCACAAAATTAGACGAAAAGAGACGAAATTTTATGAAGAGGAATTGAGACTTTGCTGAAGGGGCGCAAAATTTCACCTCTATAGCATTTTCATAATAACACTTTCTTTTTTCCACTGCCATTTTCGTTTTATGAAAAGATGGCCATGCTATTAACGTATGCTTCACGTCAAGAAAGCGAATTTTTAAGTTTAAAATTGCGGGAGTATGAGCATAAAGTGTTTTCAAGGAAACTTTCAGTTCCTGGTTGCTTGTATGCCACAGCTGCACTGGTATATGGCTGTTTCCATAGCGTTCTCATGCATGAGTTTTGTCTTGCAGGTGATGTACATGTATTATTTGCTGGGACATCGAATCATGGATTCCCATATGAGTGTGGAAGATCGCCAACTGGAAGCTGATAATACTTACATTTTGGCAATTGATGGTGATTCTAAATTTGAACCATCAGCTGTACTGAAACTGCTTCGTCTAATGAATGTGAAAAGTGACATTGGTTGTGCCTGTGGACGAATTCATCCGATAGGCGAAGGTTGGCCTAGTTTCAGTTCTACTGCGCGTTTAAAAGCTTTCAAATTCCCGGCAAGTAAATTTTTACACTTACAGCGCACAGTTAGTTTTTTTTGTATAAGCAAAAAATCCTCGTAATAAGCACTTCTAGCTTTGTATATTTGATTTTTGAGATTTCTGACCGAAAAACCATAGGCAATTTGTCGAAGCTTAATTGCAAAAATTTATCTAAACCCAGGCTGCAAAGCACCAGGCTTGCCTGTGCAATCATGCACTTTTACATTCCGGCCCATTCCGGCATGCAGGAGAAAGGGCGTCGGTTGGGATGAAAGTGGTACATTATAGAGCGGCGTGAACCTCCAGGTACATGTCCACTTCACTAAAAAGTGGAAGTGTTGCTAGAGCGGTCGTTTGTCAAGGAATCCAAGTATGCAGATGGACTGGCTGTTCATTCACATATTTGGATGAGGGCGGTCGTTCGCTGTAAAACGTACTCGTTTCTGATTTTTCGGTAAAGTTGAGTATTTCTCACGCCCACCTGCAGGAAATTCCACCTCTAAGCAGAATTAAGACTGCACTGGAAAGTAGAATATCCCTACGAATTTTTAGCCTCGCAGTCTAAGGCGAAATATCCATTTCGCTACAAATATCTTTGAAGTGCCCGAAGTCATGGCGCAGATGCAAATTTAGGTATACAATTTCCCGAATAGGAGGCAAACATGGTGACAAAATTTTAGCCACTGTTTTCCGGCAAGTTTTCGAGTTAGCACAGTACCAAGTCACAAACTTTGACTTGGTCGTACGCGCTGTGCAAGCGTGCGCGATAGCTGAATTTGAAATCTTTAGCTCGTACATACACAGAGAATATTCCTGCAAAGTTTCAACTTTGTACCTTGCCTGGTTTGCAAAATCATTTTCCGCCAAAGCAACTTGCATATTTTTTTCGGGGGTCCGTACGGGCGGCCTAGGCGCGTGTGGGGGAAGATCTTAAAACGGAAGGGTGACACACGGGGTAGGAGCACATACCCAAAGTTTCAGCCTCCCAGCTTTCCTCACAACTGAGATGAAAGTGGGTGACAAAATGCACTCGCTTCCGAACACATACACACACATACAAACACACATAGACAAGCTCTCGACAATGTACGTTTTTGCTGGCTGTAGCAGCTCTATAGCTCTGCACAGCAAAAACGCACAAAAACTGAAAATCTGCACTACATGCCACTTTGTAAGAAAAAGATCACAATAATTCTGCCTTTTTCTGATATGAAAAGTAAACTGTATTCGATTTGGGCCGTCTTCGAATATCTTCCGGATTAACAATGGATTTGATTCGCGCGGCACAGAGTTTGGATTAGATCCCTAGCCGATTAAGTTTTATCAGCCTTAGTTTATTACATTAGGCTGCTATAAATTTCTCTGGTTTTTCAAGTGCTCACATATTTACTGCTTGTGTTTCTTCACGTTTGTGTATGCGTCGAGCTAGGTAATGTAACTCCCAGACTTTGGTATCTTTTGCCTAAAACTTCGGAACTATCCGTTTTTGCTAATATCTGTTTGTGCTACGGCCTATACGCTCCTAGTTTTAAGTGTGGACCGCTTTTCTGCTGTGTAAGGAGGAAACTGCAAATTGGATACTGCTACAAACTGTGTGCAAAACTGGGTCTAAAATAAGCAACTAAATTTAGATTTGTTTCAGTATCTTAGGACGAGCAATTTTCATAAGGCTGAAGTCTTGTCAGTTCTAGACTGGTTGGATCAAAGGATTCCTCATGGAATATTACATAGCCAGATTTTTCTTGTTTTAGCGTGGCCCTCGCGACAAAGTCGGGATTCGCCGTAACGGTGTGATAAATTGTAGGCGTGATGGTATGGTACCAGAAATTCGAGTACGCCATTGCGCACTGGTTCCAAAAAGCAGCAGAACATGTGTTTGGTTGTGTACTGTGTGCTCCTGGATGTTTTTCACTTTTCCGAGCATCTGCGTTGATGGATGATAACGTTATGCATAAATATACGAAAACTGCATCAGAACCACGCCACTTTGTGCAGTACGATCAAGTAATATTTGATTTTGAGCGGTAAAGTGGTTCCGGGAGGAAGCATGTATATTTCAGGAAGCCCAAAAGAGGAAAGCAGCTCAACAGCTGTTAGAATAATCTAGATTGCTGTACTTGTTCCCACTAACTAGGTAACTGCAGCCCTTAATAAAGGCACCTACAGTAAATTATATGTTTTTTTCATCGTCTGGGTTTTGTATGATTTTTAAGGTATTACATGTTTCAGGGTGAAGACCGCTGGTTATCCACGTTGCTTTTGAAACAAGGCTATAGGATTGAGTATGCTGCGGCGGCAGATGCTGAAACATATGCTCCCGAAGGTTTTCGTGAATTTTTCAATCAGCGGCGTCGGTGGACCCCATCATCTATAGCGAATACCATTGATCTGCTTGCCGATTACCGCGTAAGTTAGTTTCTGTTCGGACAAATAGCGAAAATTGTCTAGCTATTATGCTTTGCGCAATGGTATTACGGTACGCGCAATGGCCAGTTATTCACTGAACAAAATTTTACTGGCGAGCTCAAATAATTATAGCGTGTCTGTCAAAACAACGACAGCATATCGAAGATGTACATTTTATACCAGATGGTTGTTATCGCGTTTTCACTACTCAGTCCCGGAATCATGTTCACTATGCTTGTATACGCTCAGGTAAAATTTTTTACCGTTTGGCGTACTCTTTGACTGGAGCAGCGCGTAAGTAGGGGTTCCTCTCTGCGCCAGAACAAAATCCCATTTACTGCTAGAATTCATATCGTTCACTCAGAGTAAAAAAGTCACTGAGTTATAGAGGTTAAGACTGTGCTGAGTTTTGTTTTTCAAATTCAATCATTTATTTCTCCAGCGTAGCTTGATTTCCGCTGGTGGATACTGAAAACAAGAACAAATTTTCAACACCAAAATACCAAAACCGCTCGGGCTACCAGTGAGTATTCCGTATTGTTTAGATGTTACTGCTATGATCCTACATACTGGATACAGTTATGTCGGGGCCTCACGGTCCTGGGAGTATATCTTAAATTAGCACCCACTGCCTATTAAATGAGTATTCTTTAAAATGCCTTGATTTAATTCAAAATTTGGAGTATTAAGTTGTTGGTAAATGGAATGATTGACGAATTAGCTATTTTAGGTAGCAGCTTTTGAAGTGGGATCTGATCGTATGTTACTGTACAACGCAATACCAGTATTCATTTTTATTGCGCTGTGCTTTTTTGCTGACTCGAATCATCAGTTAATTTTCGCGAAATTAGTTTCTGTTGTGTATGGGTTCGTTATGCTAGCTGTTGCTGTAGCTACGGCTAATCAAATTATTTTGGAAAGTAAGTGTTTCGGGTTTGATGCAGTTTCGACTTGCTGGTAAAACATAACACTATACAGTTTAACCGTTTTGATATCCCAACCATTTTTCCTACACCAGTTAAGATTTGTTAGATTCATAGCACACATTAAAATTGCTCAGGAATTCGTGTTCTTTAATTCTTGGCTTTGGGTAGTAGAACTTTGGGATTGGGCCAAATATTGTCAGCACAATTTAAATAATAACTCGAGAAAATTGTGATTGAAATGCGAACTTGAGGTTGCACTGTGACGTTTTCCAAATGTCGCAGAATTCGTTGCATTACAATTAGGCCAAAGCTAGAAAAGATTTTATCCACTGATTTGAGAGGTCTAAACTTCGTTTCCTTTAATTTCTGCTAAGTTAATTTTAGCTGCTTTGTCGCCGACCTCGATGTTCGTCCTCTGCATGATTGGAATATTCTTTTTCGCTGCACTGATACATCCGCAGGAATTTCATAATATTCTCTACGGTGAGAATTTCAAACTGATCTGCTGAATCAGTTGTGTTCAATCTTCCGTCTACTCGTTGACCTTTGCAGGGCTGGTGTTTTTCCTGATGATCCCCTGCACCTATGTTTTTCTTTCGCTTTATGCTTTGATCAATTTGAATGTCATCAACTGGGGAACACGAGAAGCTGCATCTGCTGCTGTTGGCGAGGTTAGCGCATGAAGAAATCACACTCAAGAAATTAATGCTGCTCCAGGTGCACAGTGCGTTTTAAATATAACTCTTTTAGAGTGTAAGCGAAACAGGATTCAAGGGATTGATGCGGCGGCTAGGTTTTTATAGAATCGTAGACTTTGTGAGAGCTTTGCCCACACGCAAGTCAACTGCTGCTGAAGTGGAGAACATGAAGAAGCGAGTTAACGAAATGGAAATAGAGCTTCAGGAATTGAAGGTTACAATTTTAATCTAATTTTTTTGCTCGTGATTTGATTTGCTTTTCGAAAATACAAATTTGTTTTTGCAGGATCGAGATGTTATTTTTCCGCCTCCGCATGCACATCTACTGTCGACGCCTCCAGCAGCGAAACAAGAAAAAGGAAATGAAGCGGTAGTTATTTCTTGAAATTTGAACTATTACTAATTCACAGTTCCTTAGTGCTAAGTTCAAGCAGAAATTTTTTTGACTTGCTTAATTGAACATAATCCATAATGATTAGGAAGTTGAAATGCTTTTGTCTTCGACAACGCCTTTTAAAACGCCGGTTGCGAGAGAAGTCACAAATCGTTTTATGTGGATGGATGCCGAATATTTGCAAGTGTGCGGTCGTGGCCGGCTGAATCCAGCAGAAGACGAGTTCTGGAACGGAATGATTGAACAGTATCTTAAAGTAAGCATTATTCGACCTTCACTTCTGCTTGATGTCATTTGAGGTTTATACGAGATCCTGTGAGAATAACTCTGTGAAATAGGTATTTGTGTGCACCAAGGAACTGTCCCAGTTTTACATTCTTGCTATTGTATATTGTAGCAGGTACATAGTTGTGAATGAATCAGGTACATACACGAGTTTCTCATGATTTGCTTTTAATCAATCCAAATCAGAAAATGCAACAAATTTGAATCCACGAATTGCTCTTTTCTCGAATTGTAATGTCAGTTCGTATTTGGAAGCGTGGAAATCGTGCGAAATGAGAGCTATATTTACATTTCATGCTAAAAACTTAAAGACTTTGAATTTTTGCAGCATCCTTTATTCAGAGTTCGTAAAATTGCCTCAGTTTTAGAAATAAGGTTATAAATAAAAACAGCTGAAGTGTGGACCTCATACTGTTTCATTTCAGAGCGTTTCATGAACCAGTTTCATAGAATTAGTTTGCAGCTTTCGGATTTTTCGAGTTATGAAACTGTTTCTAATTTAGATTTAAGCTATAGCTAAAATGCAGCTTGAGATGTAAGCTGACTTTAATTTTGTGTTCTTTTAGTTGAATAGACAGTGGATTCTAACGATTTAATTTACCTTTTTACCTAGTCCAAAAATTAAATTACGCGTACAGGCACACAGAAAGACAATAAGTACGTTTGCACTGTATGTCTTTATTTGCATAGATCATTTCAGCAAAATTGCATAAAAATTTCGAAAACCAAAAAAAAGTTTTTTTTTCAGATTGAAATAAGAAGGGAAAATTCAGTTTGTAATATCGATGCATTTTCTAAATGCCATTTTTTCAGCCAACGGAAATAACGGAAGATGAAACAAGGCGGGATGCTGCTAATTTAGCTGATCTTAGGAATCGCATAGCTTCTTCAATTTTGATCGTTAACGGCCTCTTGGTTCTTGCAGTTTTTCTCATACAGAAGCACAAGGAAATACTTTCTTTCCAGTATAAACCATACGGTTAGTTTTGGTAATTTTGCGTGCATGTCTTTAGACGGAATAATTTGCATCAAATAAATTATCAATAATTTCCGCAAGTTCCATTTTATGGGAAATTATGCCAGCATGTTTGCTGTTTGATCACTGGGCCAATTCTGGGAATGCTGTCTTAAGCCGTTGATTTGTTTAAAAACGAAATTTTGGCGATCTCAACTTTTTACCGCAGTACCGGTTTCTTAATACTCATTTACTTTGATACTGTTAGATGTTATCCCTGACGCATATCGCATTCCTAATCTCTACAATTAAACTAGTGTGGGTGAGTGTGTGCGTGCGATAGTTGTCCTAAAACATATTAAATTATCTCCATTATATAGTGCTTAAATATAAGAGAGACAGAAGAAAGAAGGAAAGAGAAAACAAAATTTCCGGGAAGCCGAAACTCCCAGGAACGGAAAACGCAACTGTTACTGGTGGAAATGTGTGTAAAGAAAAGTTAAAAAAGGAATAAGAGTTAACTCATGTATAGCGGATGTTCAAAGATTAAATGCCTCACCCAAAAAGAAACAGGCTGTCCAAAGGTTAGTCCGAGGGCACCAGTTTGTGTGAAACACTGAACGAAAAGGTAACAAATCACTGTGAAACAATCAAACTGAGAAATACCAACAAAAGCAATAAATTATTATAAGACAAGCAACCGAAAAAAGCGTATTTGCTATACAGGAGTCAAAAGAAGGTTATGTAATTTGTTATGATTACAGAGGGCTTTGAGTGGTTAAAGCTGAGTGAGAAAACAGGAAAATTCGAGCTCACTGGTGAGCCGTTAAAGGTTGAACCGCTTGGTCTAATCATAATCGGATTTCTGCTTGCAATACTCTTGGTTCAAACGTGTGGTATGTTTGCACATAGAGTCAACACACTAATTGGCGCATTCCATGAGGTTAGTGTTCCATGGCATAAGTTTCATAACTTCATTAAGTGTTTCATAACTTCATTAAGTGAGGAATTATGCGTTTTTGCACATATGCAAGTGCAAAGCGCGTATTATGACTACCTCGGTGTGTGTGTGTGTGTGTGTGTGTGTGTGTGTGTGTGTGCGTGTGTGTGTGTGTGTGTGTGCGCG